TTGATGATGTTGCGTCGGTGGTTGCTGCTGTTGGTGGTGTTGCTTCAATGGTTGGTGTTGCTTCGATGGCTGGTGCTGTTGATGATGTTGCGTCGATGGTTGGTGTTGTTGGCAGTTGTGTTGATGGTGTTGCTTCGATGGCTGGTCCTGTTGGTGGTGTTGCTTTAGTGGTTGGTGTTGTTGGCAGTGGTGTTGATGGTGTTGCTTCAATGGTTGGTGCTGTTGATGGTGTTGCTTCAATGGTTGGTGCTGTTGATGGTGTTGCTTCAATGGTTGGCGTTGTTGGCAGTCCCGTTGGTGTTGTTGGCAGTGGTGTTGATGGTGTTGCTTCAATGGTTGGTGTTGTCGGTGAAGGTTTTGGTGGTGCTGTTGGTGGAGGTGGATTGAGTAAACACAAGAGTTTGTAGCTATTTTTTTTCATGTGTTAATTATGTTAGCGGTCATAAAATTACATTTTTGGGGAAATTCCAGACTGTTTCCAAATTAATTATTTAAAATTCAATATCACTACTTATATTTAGTTTGAATAGACGGGTAATTTAAAAGGCTGGTGTAAGTACTACAGAAACTGCTGATCTCCTGGGATTTGCATCTATAACTGTCTGTAGGGATCACAGAGAGGACCCTTCTGTGAAGGGTTGCACACTGACCAATACATTTAAAACATGACACTGTTTTACAAATGACTGTTGTTCACTTGAAGAGACCAGATCCTTAAAAAACTAGAACTTTCTGTTACAAAATGTTTATTTAGCTATTTGACAACAGTTTGGTGTTCTCTAGCACCAAACAAAGAAAAACTTACTAACAAAACTTGAATTGTCATTGAAATGTTAATCTGAACAGATAATACTTAGTAAATATGATCAAATATGTATTTTGTCCATGTGTGAAACTCAAAGCTTCTTTAAAGTCAAAATATTTTTTACGAAAAAAAAAACCCTTGGAGGTTTCTTTAAACATTTTTCTTGAATGGATGGAGTCTGACTGCATTTAATCTCATTTTTGGGCAAAGAATAGAAAGACAACAGCAGCTGTCAAGCACTGAAAAAAAGGTGAAATATTAGTCTTTTGCAATAAAATGTCAGTGTCTGGTCTGTGCTTCCACAGGCGCCACTGGCTTTGAAACTTATTCCCGCTAACGAAGTAAGGAAGCAAGACGAACAGTTTAACCGGTGTTGCACATGCTAGTAAGGGAAGGATCTCAGAGCAGCCCTTCTGCCCTCAGTCTCAGACCACTTCGAAGAACCATCACCCCATAGCACCCTTTTATTCTGTTACACACAGTTTACACAAACACCCATTGTAAATCCCCTCATGGTCACAAAAGGTTAAAAAAACTGTGTGTGTGTGTGTG